AGAAATCTTGAGATCTATAATATAACCCACAGAGATTTTGTGTCTCCCAAGTTTGGAAATCTCAGCCCGTGTTTCTGCTGCAATCTGTACAAAACTCTCCAACCAAAGGGACCATATGGACTTAATATTCCAGAGTTTTCTATAAAACTTCAGCCATTAATCAGCTTTTCACACTAGAGAGTGTGCATTTGTACTATTCCTCTAAAAATAATTTTTTGGCATAACTAAGCAGGTTACTTGATTAGTTAAATATTTTACTAACTCTGTATCAGGCTGAATTCACCTGTAATTATATGCATATATTTTAAATACATTTCAGGCTTTTACAGTATTACAACAAATTAATTATATTAATGTCTAACAACCTGAAATTTGCTTAGTAATTTGAAAGGGCAATTTGATTATTTGTTTTAATTGCTGGTACATGACTCATCGAGTCAGAAAATCACACTCAATTGTGCAAAAATAATGCTTCCTAGAAAAGTGATCCAAAATCAAAGTCAAAGTGCTTCTAAAAGATTAAGTTAATTATTGAAATTAAAACTACATTTCTAAATGGCAAGAAAATAATCATAAATTAAAATGATGCAATCTATTCAGCTACATAAGAAAGATCAACAAAGAGGTGGAGTCTGAAATACTACCTCTACTTTTTTTAGAAAAACAAATAAGGAGATTGATTTAAATTTTACTGAACATTTATTCACTTATTTATTGAAAAATAACTGAATTTTACAGTGTTGAACAAAAGCACAAATAGAATCAGTGGTCACTCAAAGCATAAACCAAAACAGCAGAAAGCAAAAACAACAACTTGAGCAAGTATATTTTGAGTCTATATCTGTAACCTAACAAATCTATACAGCTGTCTAACCTCTCATACTATAATGCTGAGTTTTGCATCACCTCTAACATGCAGTGTTTTTCATTACAGATCCTAATCTTGCAAACATTCACACATGTGAGTAACTTCATGCACACAATTGACTATTCACACCTGTAATGGTACAACTGTTTTTTTTCAGGATTATGGTTATAAAATTCTGAAAAATTAGTTGTTTATAGATACACTAAGCAATAAATAGGCATAATGGTCTTTTATTTATGATATCATTTAGAAACTTTATTGAGTTTTTTATAATGTAATTGTATATTTTACAAATCATAACAAAAAAGTTATGGTCTATCAAATATCTCCCTCCAAACTTTCCTCACTTTTATATTATTCAACAGTGTTGAAGCGAAAAAGAATAAATTGGAAACTGTCTTCTTATAGTGATTGTTCAAAAATCATAAAAGGATTTCAGCAGATGAAAAAACTGGTGTCATAACACTAATGTCCATTTATTTAAATATTTTGTTTTATTATGATAAACCTATGCTGAAGAAGGCTTTGGGTCACAGTCCATTGCATTGGGATCCCACATGTCCAAGGTTGTGTATGACTGTTTTTTTATTTATAAACAGGCCACTTTCAATCTGGATTCAGAAAATCTAATTGTAGTGAAAAACAAGAGGGACTCATCTTTTTCCTGGGGCAGTGTGAGTGCCAAAAATGTCAATGGGAACTACACATGCATACACAGGAGCAGAATCAAGCCCTTAAATACCTTGCACAATTTATACATAGTGTTGTGTTGATTATCTTGTGATGTTGTTTTTGATGGTTAGCCTGAGTTGAATGGGAGAAAAATTGCTATTAAGCAGAACTAGCCTGTTAATGGCTTATGGAAATTCATGCTTTTAGGATAATGACTTAGTAGACCAGAGTCTAGGAAATAAAGTACCTTGGGAAGAAACCGTAATTAGAAAAAACTGTTTTAAAAGGAAGTAGCAAACTTTCATTTTCATGCTAAACTGAAGGTGGCTATTATGGGAATATATACTGGCCAATTCAATATCCAAAGTGTCTTGATAGCATGAATAGAAAGAAAGAGAGAATGGAAAACTCTTAGATAATGGAAATTAACGAGTTGTGAGGGAGAAAAAACATTCCCCAGTGTTGGGATATGGGGATAGGATTATTTGTTTCTATCATCTGTTCAGGGCTCTGGGATAGCTAATAGCCTATGTGTTGTTTATTTATGATTCAGAGCTCATCCTGAGTTGAGGGCACCCAGCATCCTGTGTAGAGTCAGTCTGTGCACTAATCGGACTTCCATTCAGTAGGCATTGCAAATGTAAAAGCACAACAACAACAATTGCTTTCCAATGTTTTCGGTTTACAAATTTCTGTTAAGGTTGATTAACTCTCCCACCTCTCTTAAAATATTAGAGATTTAAAATATAAAGTAGATCATATTCAAGCCTGGGCATGTACCACTTGCAGAAGTCAAAATTACTATGGTAGTAGCAGTATTCCCCATTATAAATATAGAGAATGCCACAAATGTTATGGCAAAATTAATAATATAGTTCAGCAGATGTCCATTCTTAAATTTTCTCATTTATTATTTGTAAAATTTGATATATTGAAAATAATAGAATACTTACTAATCTTGTACAGTATTTATATTGGTGGCTTTCCAAACATGAATGCAAATTAACAAAATCCTGTTTTCAATAACATTTAATTAAAACATAAAGCAGCAGAAACAGGGAAATTTCAAGATGAGTCTGATAAAGCATTCTCAATTAAGTTGTTCTGTGCATAGATGTTGTAGCATATACAGAGTCAAATACTGTTCTCCTTACCAAAGTAAGCCGCTTGGCCCATGTTACTAAATGTGCATATGCAGTTTTGTGCATATAGAAGTGTACATGTAAAATACTCTTTACAACCTCAACTTGTGCACATGACAGATATGTGTGTATATCAGTTCCTGAGTTGTGCACATTCAGTGGGTATTTTGTACACTCCACTTTGGTGTCCATAATAAGTGTAATTCTAAAACTTTTTTATCATGGACTTCAAGGAAGGATTAAGTGACCAGGATTTGATACATCGTACCTATCTGTACAAATTACTAATATATGATATCTGCTCATAAAAACAGACAAGACAAAGGCATGTCTGTCCAGAAATTATTTGCCTGGTTTGGTTGTTTAAACATCTTACCAACACTAAGAATGCTAAGTATATTGTCTATTCTCCTCAACTTTACAAAAATATTGAGAAAAAGGAATTTAAAACTACAGGGAAAAGTAGTGCATGGAATGCTGAGCACTATTTTGTACTCACTGATTTCTTTCAGTCTGAATTATGAATATATAAATAGGCTTAACGGATGCAATTTTAATATAACTTCAGTAGAGATATCTATATATATTTAGATGTTTTCAATGTTTATTTATTTAAATGTTTACAATTGCAGGAAATTGTGGGTGTGTCAAACAATGCAGGGATCAGACAATAATTATTTAATTAAAGTAATGCTGAGATTTAAAAAGTTAAAGTCATTATTATTATTAAGACAAAAAATGTCAATATCACATTTCAAAATATACAGAATAAATATAATTAAATCAAACTCTCAAAAGTTCTCATGCATTATTTTTCTTCCATTACAAATCTGCAGATATTTTTCATCAATATGTATGTGGATAATGAAAAGGACATTTATCAATAGTTACTGATACAAATCTAATCCTTACAAGCCTAAATCAAGGCAGAAGTCTGGGACTTCTTAAAATGTGAATTATTGACTCTTAGTAGATTGTAACTACTCCAAAAACAGTATTATAATCTATCATGTAAATATAGTGATTTTTTGAAATATGGATTATTAACTCAATAGCAAATTAATTCTGTGTTGTTGTAAAAGCCCAGCAGGCATGTAGAATAGACACTTTTCTACACAATATAACTAAATTGCAGGGACGAGGGGGGGAGAATCAGTTTAAAGAGCAAAGTATTTGCAAGTTCCAGGAAAGTAAATATGTATACAAAGTTTCTAACTTCCAAAGCATTTTAGTCTTATAAATGAAAAATAGACAGAATATTTCTTTTTACATCTACAAAAAAGTATTACGTAAAAGATGCTTTGTTTTCAATGCTTAAATGCTGAGGAAATTTTTCTGACCAAGTTTCCCTGAAATCTATTCATAGAGAATACACTCAACAGCATCATCACAATAAAGTGTATCACGCATAAGACTGCAGATTCAAGCATTCAGCACCTCAATTTTGATAAAATACTCAGCTCTCTCTTTCTGGAAAAAACTGAGATGGAAAACGCTTTCAATATCATATTTAGTATATCAACTTCTCTAAATCCAGAACAGTTTAGGAGTTTGTTAAGCAGCTAAGTCCTATTAAAGCAAAGTAACAGTTTCTTCCCTAATCTTGAACTTTCAGCGACAGTCAGAGAAAAAGTAGCTGATTCCTATGCCCTGTCAGACAGTAGCATTAATAATCACCAAAACAAAAGGAAACACCTCAAAATATGTATCTGCTTATAATTAATCACTACCCCAATGAGGTAAACCTGGCAGAAATGACCTGCTTTCTGCCTTGATTAGTCCTTGTTAATAAGGGGAGCATAAATTAGAAATAAGAGGATTGTTATCGTTATGGATTTGGAATATGTGTCAGACTCATATGGCAGTGAGCCAGTTTCTCTGACGGACTGCTGCTGCTGTATCTCTCACAGCCACCTATGATTTTATAATAGGCATTTTTTAAAACTCGAGTCTCTTTCTCTCTCTATTTCTCTCTCTTTTCTTCCTCACAATCCAGTCCAGTTATTTTTAAGCCCTAGACGCTCCCTGCTCATAACTTGCATCTCCCGGTTCAATTCAGGTTTGTCAGCTGGGTACCCGCATGTCTAGGATAGTACATAAACTATCACACACAGACTAACCGACCTGGGCTCAATTAGTGCAGCATTTTGGACACATTCGAGTAATCAAGAGGCAGAAATTTAGTTTCGTCTTCATTTAATTGAGAACACATATTTAGCGAGGGATCGAGAATTTTACATAATTATTATTAATAATTATTATTATTCTCGTAACGTAATTTACAAAAGAGTGGAAACGCCTACAAGGAGATGAAGTACCTGCACTGGGGAGATGTTCAGTTGTTCACTTCATCTTCCGTTGACAAGGAAACCAACCCGCACTTCATTCTCCAGGAAAACCTTCCACTGCCATCATTTTAAAATGTATTTATTTGTATATATGTGCATATCTATCATCATAATCATCATAATAAAATTATCTCGGTAAAAGAATAAAAAAGTCAAATGTGCAAAAGTAACGATCATTGCTTTGGCTTTTTTGTTTGTTTGGCTTTTTTAAGGAGGAAAAAGTATTAAAAAATGATCAACTCTAACAAGCTGCAAGAAAAGTTTCACGTTATAAACGGGCATCAAAGCAAAAAAGAACAAAAACTGCTGATTGCACCGAGTGTCAAAAAAAGGAAACAACCAAAAATAATAAAATTAACATCTTGCTCAGTGGCCTGCACCAGTATTGCAAGATCACAAACTCTTTGTAAACACTGCTGTAAAATGCATTTGCAATTCACATCTATATACAAAAAAATAAAAATAAAAATGAAAAAACATCAAAACAACATTTGGAAAAATTCTCTGCAAAAGAGTTAGAAACATGCCTTTTCTCCTCATCTTTAAAAAAACGCACAATATTTCACATTGCTTTCTTTTTCTCGGGCCATAACAAAACCAGTTGCATATCTAGAGCTAGCGCTAATAATTGTATATATAGCTATATTTTTGCTGGACTGGTAAGTCTTAAATGTTATTGCATTGCTCAATTCCCAGTGACTCCCAGCCCCAGCAGCACCTTTTGCTCACAGTCTAGTAACCATCGCATGCTAAGAAGAAGAAGAAAAACAAAAACAAAAACAAAAAACTTGGCATCAGAAAAAGGATCAAATCCCTGGAAACAATAATCAAAGAGGAAGAAAAAAAGAAGAAAAATAAAAAAGGAAGAAAAAAACAGGACAAAAAAAGAGGACAAGAATGTCAGCGGAAAGGTACTCACCGAGCGGGAGTAAAAGAGAGGAATAAAAATGAGTTACTATAAAATACAGTATGGCGGTGGAAGAAGGAATGAGGCGCTTCCCCCCCCCTCCTCTCTAGTCTCTGCCTCAGGCAGCGGACACGTGATTCGCAGCCAGGCTGACTCGCAGGCAGGGGGAAGGGGTTCGCCCCGCTGGAGCAGCCCAATTCACTCCCACGGCGGCGGCGGCGGCAGAAGCGAGCGGGAGGCTGGAGCCCGCAGCTAGCGGCAGGAGCTGGCGCCTCGGCTGCTTGCGCGGCGGCAGCAGCGCGAGCCAAGCAGGTGCCTCTCGCCCCAGCGCCACGCGCCGCACACACACCCACACACACACACACCCGCGCGGCTAAGTCAGGGGCGCGGGCGAGCGAGGCGGAGGGGAGTTGAAAGCGGAGACCGTGCGAGCGGGAGCAGCTGCCTGTGTGTGTATGTCGGAGCTACAACTTGCTGCCTCCTCACCTCAAAGTTATCGCTGCAGCTTCCGGTGCTCCCAAATTACCTGCTCCATAAATCTCCCCTTCTTTCTAGGTTGCCGAGGGCCGGACTGAGTGGCAAGTGTCAGTGCAAGTCAGCGCGTCTCCAACGCCGCTCGCCTCTGCACGGAGGCAGAGAGGCTGAGCGGTCGGTAGCTGTACTTTCTGCTGGGGATGGCTCGGCTCCGGCCAAGTGCAAGCCCCAAGCGATGCTTGTCCAGAGCGTGCTCACATGTTCACGTTTGCAGCTGGACAGAAATTAGAAAGTGCCGAGAGACGCGTTCATTATTTCTCTACTTTGTTTTTGCTTTCCTGGCCTCTGCTCAGTGTTTGCCTTGGTGCTGAGGGGGGCTCTTGTTTTTAATAACAAAGTTATTGGCAGAGGCAAGTCAAACAAGTGACTCCAGAAGAGCTGTTCTGGGAGAGCGCTTTGCAGGCAGCCTGTGCTAGGCAGGGAAGCAGCAATGCATCATCACGCACACGGCTAGTTCCTCGGCAGGTTAACTCTTTCAGCTGGATGGTAGGTGAGCCTGTTGTTCCGCATCCTTGCTCATGTTTAACGGGATCCTGTGTTAGCTAAAGGGCATTCCCTATAATCAAGGATCCCTTCCTGTGCCCCTCGCTCTCCTGAGGTTTTATTCAAGAGTGACTAAAGCATGGTGTTCCAGACTGGACAGCATCATTATAAAGTAAGCAAGAACTATCTCAGGCTGTCACTCATACTTAAGACTGTGTGAGAGTTGTGTAGGTTTTTTGTTTACTTCAGAAGGGGCCATCATGATCATCTACTCACAAAGCTATGTGCATTCAAACCAGGAATACACTGTGGGGGAAGTCTTCAAATCTAGGCTATATCTACTCTGGGAAAGATTGGCAACAAAAGTGTGGTCAACATGCAAAAGTGCCAAAAGTGAAAAATGGTCCAACTGGTTTTTCTGCTTCCCATTGTTGACATTCCATGGCCATATTGCTAGTACCTCCATGGACCCGCATCCCACAATGCAGTGTGTGGGAAGGCAGAGCTGATACCTGTGCTCCTTAGTTCTCCCACAACATTCTCAGATGCTGAGAGCAGCTCTGTGAATTCTCCATGCAGAGGAATGTCAAAGCAGCACAGCAGTCTCTCCAGTCTGCCCCCTGCAGTAGCAATCTGCCTGCTGCTGTGTTTCTAGCGGGACAGAACAGAAGCATTACAATGATTTGCTCTTTGTTTTTTCCCCAAACAAAGCAGCTCATTCAACTGTCGGATATTTCTCAGGGCTTTGAAAGATGAGGGGTGCATGCCTGCAGGGTAGCAGAGCTCACAAACCACAGCCATGGAAGCAGGCAGTGTGGCAGAGGGAAGTCAGTTCTCTGGGAAAAAAAAGCAAACAACAGAGTCCACACTAGCTCTTTGTCGAAAATAAAAGGAGAGGAAAAGACAAAAATCTCTGGCAGGACTGGAAGTTTTTTGTTGCCAAAGCTAGATGTTTTCCCCAACAAACGTAGCACTGCAGTGTAAACATGCTTAATGTTTTGTTGCTAAAAGGCAGTTTTGAATGACAAAACATGCCAGTGAACACAAGACCCTAGATTTAAAGACTCTTAAGTTACCCACCATTTATTTTAGTTCAAACCAGCAAGTGATCTGTGTTCCATGCTGCAGAGGAAGGAGAACTTCCCTCCCCTCAGGTTTCTGTCAATCTGACTTAGGGAAAACAATCCTTCTCAACCCCAAATCAATTAGCTTAGGGGTGGGCAATAATTTTTGACAGGGGGCCACTCCAAGATTTTGGAAAGTGGTCAAGGGCCGCACTCTTCCATGATGTTAATGGAGGAGATGTGGAATCTGGGATGGAGGTAGGGTACAGAAGGGAGCTTGGGGTAATTGATTGGGATGCAGGAGGAGATTAGAGTCTGGGAGGGAGTTTGAGTGAAGGAGGCAGTTGTAACCTAGGGCAAGCAACTGAAGTGCAGGGCTTGGGGATGTGACCTAGAGTAGGAGGGTATTGTGATCTGGGAAAGAAGATTGGGGTGCCAGATCTGGAGAGGGTTTGGGTGTAAGAGGGGGACAGAGGGTTTGGGTATGTTGAGTGGGAGTCAGAGGGTTGGGGCAGGAAAGTGCTGGGGTGCTAGAAACAGGGTGTGGCCAAGAGACTTGCCTGCCAGCTGCCAAACTAGCCTGCCTGCCGAGCTTAAAACATTTCCCAGCCAGCCAGCCTGCTTCCCTGGCCATGTGCTTCATTGAATAACTGAGCCCAGAAGAGAGAGCATAGTTCTTCTTGGCTGCCTGTTATACTAACAAACAGCTCCCATTGGCTGGTTTCTAGCCAGAAACCAGCCAATGGCAGCTGCTGAAACTTCCCCCTTCCCTTCCTGTTTCAAAACAGAAATGGAGCCCTGAAGCCTCATTTGTAAATGGCACACGGGGCTGCAGGGCAAGCAGAGGAGCCTGCCTGGGGCTCCCTGCTCCCTCAGCGGGTCAGATCTGGTGGATTGGTGGGCCAGATCCATGCCACAGGCTGTATTTTGCCCAGGCCTGAGTAAATCCTCCACATTTGGGCAAGACCCACCAGCCAGATGCAGCCCTCCTTGTCTATTGTCTTCTTTCTGTCTTTTAGAGATATTTACTAATAGCAGTCATGAATGGGTCATGTGTCCTTGTGGGTAGTACAATGATTAACATCATCATCAACCATCCCCTCCATAAACTTGTCAAGTTCTGTCTTGGAACAATTTTTTTTGTTTTTTTGTTTTGTTTTGTTTTGTTTTGTTTTGTTTTCCCCACAGTTTCCCTTAGAAGGCTCTTCCAAAATTTCACTCTTTGGATAGGCCTCAGAGGAGAAGTCATGCTAGTTTTTATCTGTAAAAATGTGGAGTCCTGTGGCATCTTAAAGATTTATTTGGGCATAATATTTCGTGGGTCAAAACCACTTTGTCTGATTTATGGAGTGGAAATCACAGAGGTAAGTAGTAGGGATGTAAAGGGCTAACCAGTTAACAGACAGCCCACCCGGGTTGGAGCAGACCCCCACCTGATGCAGCCTGGGGGGCGGATGCAGCCTTGTCATGGGCAGCGGTCATTTTAATCCAGCTGAGCCCACCATGCCATACCATGGCTGAGGAGTGGTCAGCCCAGCATGACAAGATAGGCCTGGCCAGGCTGGAGCAGCTCTCCAACCATGGCATGGTATGGCAGGCCTCGCCCAAGCAGCCGGTGGCATGGCAAGGGGCCACCCAGACCAGCTGGGCCCCCCGCCTGCAGGATCCTGGTTAACTGGTTAAATGTAACATATAAACCTCATATAACATATAAATGTTATGTGTAACATAAATGGCATTTTAGTCGGAAAATATATATCTTACAATAGATTTTAGAAATGTGTGTATGTCTGTCTATCTGCCTGTGAGTCTCTTCAAGAACTCCTACATAAGAACGGCCGTACTGGGTCAGACCAAAGGTCCATCTAGCCCAGTATCCTGTCTACCGACAGTGGCCAGCACCAGGTGCCCCAGAGAGGGTGGACCGAAGACAATGATCAAGCGATTTGTCTCCTGCCATCCCTCTCCAGCCTCTGACAAACAGAGGCCAAGGACACCATTTTATCCCCTGGCTAATAGTCTTTTATGGACCTAACCTCCATGAAATTATCTAGCTTCTCTTTAAACTCTATTATAGTCCTAGCCTTCACAGCCTCCTCTGGCAAGGAGTTCCACAGGTTGACTACACGCTGTGTGAAGAAGAACTTTCTTTTATTAGTTTTAAACCTGCTACCCTATAAACACTTAGCCCTTCCAACAGCTAATTCCAAAAATCTGACAAATTATCATCAAACACGACTGGGAGGAAAAAATTATATAGAGAAATGTGAATACAAATTAAGAGTTACTGAAGAAAATCGTATTGGATTGTTACAAATCCAAGATTCCAAATGTGAGGAAACAGACAATTTTGGAGAAAACCAGAGTTTAGTGGTGAAAGGAAAGCAGCAGATAGTAGGGGATAAAATATTTAACAAATGGGAAAAAGGGAAACCAGACAGCAAGCAATAGAAACTGAAAATTATGACAATTGAAATGAGATATTAAATAAATCAGGGGGAAATTCATGCTTGGCAGGGCCAAGAATTATCAAAAGGAGATTATGTATAATAAGAACAAAAGAAATCCAAGAAAAGTGCTTGGCCAATTCCTAGTGGGAGAAAGGAAACGTGTTAATATTCCATAAAAAATATGTGTTCAAGAAACAGCATTGTTCTGCATTCAGAAAGAAATAGCATGAGGCACTGAAGAAATACTTTCCATCCATTAACTGTCAAGAAGCATGTTCAGCAGCTTCTACAGTAGAACCTTTGAGAAATGAGCACCAGCGATATGAATTGGCTGATTAACCGCACATCTCATTTGGAATGAGACTATGCTGCCAGGCAGCAGCAGAAGCAAAAAAGAGAAATCATGGGACAGTTCTCTGTCAAATGCAAACTATTAAAATAAACAGAAAGTTTGAAAGAAAAGTTTGGACAAGGTGAGGAAACAGTGTAGAATTTGGTATGGAATTAGTTAAAAGAGTCTAGGAATATAATTAATTCCAGGCAACAGCAT